GCCATTATAAAACCAATACCTAAGAGTCGTATAAAGGACCCACGAATTCCCCTTAACTATAGAGGCATTAGTCTCCTATGTACAATGGCTAAGCTATATAGTTCTGTTATAAATACTAGACTTTCCCAGTTTGCTGAAACCAAGATTGTTGACGAACAAAATGGATTTAGGAAATTAAGATCTTGTGTGGACCATCTATTTGTTATCACAACTATCATAAGAAATAGAAAAGCAAAGGGCCAATCTTCTTTTATATGCTACATCGACCTGGAAAAATGTTTCGATAAAATTAATAGAGATTGTTTACTTCTAAAGCTTAGAAAACTTGGTATAAATGGGAAAATGTATCAGACACTGAGTAGCATGTATGCGCACACACAGAGTACAGTTAACGTCAATAATAAACTAACTGACTGGTTCACTACAGAAACAGGATGCCGCCAGGGGGACAATATTTCCACAACAGCATTCTCTATATTCATAAACGATTTGGCCCAAGAATTAAAATCAGCTGGGTTGGGTATAAAGTTTGGTGATGATATAATTTCATGTTTGTTATTTGCCGATGACATTGCTATATTGTCTGAAAATGAGAAGAACTTGCAGGAATTGTTAAATCTAGCTTATAAGTGGTGCCATAAATGGAGAGTTAATGTTAATATTGATAAATCCAATATAGTGCATTATCGTAAAAATAGTACTCCCAGATCAGATTTCAAATTTACATTTGGAACAAAGCATTTAGAAACCGCCACGCAATATAAGTATCTTGGATGTATATTAGATGAAACACTTAACTTCACTACAACTGCCGAAAATCTAAGCGCAGCAGCAGGCCGAGCTTTGGGGGGCCTCATCACAAAATTTAGGAAACACAATGGACTTTTCTATACAGCATACACAAGACTTTATAACACATGTATACTCCCAATTTTGAATTATGGATCCGGCGTTTGGGGAAACAAAACTTATCAATGTACTGACAATATCCAACACAGGGCAATGAGGGCATTTCTAGGTGTGCATAGATTTGCATCTATCCCAGCAATGTACGGTGATTTGACATGGATGACACCATTGGACACTAGAAAATTAGATATTATACGTCTTTGGAACAGAATTACATTCATGAATAATAATCGTATCACTAAAAGAGTGTTCATGGAAGATTATCAAAATGGGAAAGCAAGTTGGTGCAGCGACTTTAAAAAACTGTGCATTGATTTAAATTTTGAAGAGCACTACCGTGATCAAACATATATTGACTTACGTGTGGCACGAACCAGACTAATGAAGAAACAAAAAGAAAAATGGAATCAGGAAATTCTTGAACAACGTAAATTACGTACATATGTTACTTTTAAAACAGACTTTAAACCAGATCAATTCATTTTATGTGACTTGCCAAGAGGCACTAGATCACTGATTTCACAATTTCGGTATGGAATTCTACCTTTGCATATTGAAACTGGCAGATTTGTAAATACCAATGTAAATGAGCGTTTTTGTAACATTTGTAAGTCGGGTGAAATCGAAGATGAAAAGCATTTTATTTTTGATTGTAGTGCATATAGGAAAAAAAGAAATGAGTTCTTTGAAAAATTGGAAATAGAGAGTCTGACTTTAAGTGACATTTTTAAAAGTAAAAGATACACTAAGATGTTTGGTCAGTATTTAATTGACATAATGCAGATCAGGAAAGACTTTATTTTTAAACAATAACTAGTTATTTTAAAATGTTCTAATGTGTCTCATAAGCCCAGATAGGGCTGGTTGTATGATATGATACAAGTGACACTTTAATAAAATAAATAAATAAATAAATAAATAAATACATACATGTACAATGGGTGATGCTCAACTTAGTGAAATTAGTTGACAGAGATCATTTCTACATATTTTAAAATATATTTTATGTAAATTGGATACTCACGTCACTCTAGGTAGTAAAGAGGTTAAAGAAAAGTTGACTTTTTGAAGTCAAAATCGGCAATTTCTCAGATCGCCCAGCCGATCCCATAGGCTCACTATGTGAGCCAAAAAACTGGGATTACATAGTAAACATATTTATGTTCATCCCCTTGAAACAGACATTTACAAGAAGGCAATCCCACAAGCAATTGTTACAATAAAAAAACGAATTAAATATTTCAGACAAGAATTAATAGCTCATCAGACTTTTTAAGGAAATAGAAAGAATAGACAGTGAAAAGTGTAAGAAGCAATCTTAAAAAAGGCATCATAATGGAGCAGCCCTGGAAATTGTTCCTCAGTTTTATAAAACAAATAGTACCATGGGTAAAAGGTTAACATGGAGTTGCTCAAAAAGAGAAAAGTGAATGATGGCAGACAATAAACAAGGCATTAACATGACAAAATGTCACCACCTAAAACAATTTGGTCAATTTAAAGCAAGTTGGAAAATACCTTTTGACCTTAAGAAGGTTTGATTTGAACTTCTTAGAACATGTAGATGATTTTGAAAAAAAAATTCGTCAATTTGAAGCAAGTTGAAAAAATACCTCTTTGACTTTTTTTGACATTGAGAAGGTCATTGAAGGTCAAATGTCAAATGTAAAGTCAGATTTGAACTTCTGAGAACATGTAGATGATTAGATGATTTTGAAAAAAAAATTAAGTAAATTTGAAGCAAGTTGAAAAAAGACCTTTTTGACCTTGAAAAGGTCATTGAAGGTCAAATGTCAAATCTAAAGTCAGATTTGAACTTCTGAGAACATGTAGATGATTTTGAAAAAAGAAATTAATCAATTTGAAGCAAGTTGAAAAAAGACCTTTTTGACCTTGAGAAGGTCATTGAAGGTCAAAGGTCAAATCTAAAGTTAGATTTGAACTTCTGAGAACTTGTAAAGTCAAATTTGAACTTCTGAAAAGATGTAGATGATTTTGAAAAAAAAATTTGGTCAATTTGAAGCAAGTTGAAAACAGACCTTTTTTGACCTTGAGAAGGTCATTAAAGGTCAAATGTCAAATCTAAAGTCAGATTTGAATTTCTGAGAACATGTAGATGATTTTGAAAAAAAAAATTAGTCTATTTGAAGCAAGTTGAAGAAAGACCTTTTTGACCTTGAGAAGGTCATTGAAGGTCAAATGTCAAATCTAAAGTCAAATCTAAAGTCATATTTGAATTTCTGAGAACATGTAGATGATTTTGAAAAAAATGTTTAGTCAATTTGAAGCAAGATGAAAAAATACCTTTTTGACCTTTTTTGACATTGAGAAGGTCATTGAAGGTCAAATGTCAAATCTAAAGTCAGATTTGAATTTCTGAGAACATGTAGATGATTTTGAAAAAAAAATTTAGTCAATTTGAAGCAAGTTGAAAAAAGACCTTTTTGACCTTTTTTGACTTTGAGAAGGTCATTGAAGGTCAAATGTCAAATCTAAAGTCAGATTTGAATTTCTGAGAACATGTAGATGATTTTTAAAAAAAATTTAGTCAATTTGAAGCAAGTTGAAAAAAGACCTTTTTGACCTTTTTTGACTTTGAGAAGGTCATTGAAGGTCAAATGTCAAATCTTAAGTAAAATCTAAAGTCAGATTTGAATTTCTGAGAACACGTAGATGATTTTGAAAAAAATTTTTTAGTCAATTTGAAGCAAGTTGAAAACAGACCTTTTTGACCTTTTTTGACCTTGAGAAGGTCAAATTTCAAATCTTAAGTCAGATTTTAATTTCTGAGAACACGTAGATGATTTTGAAAAAAAAATTTAGTCAATTTGAAGCAAGTTGAAAACAGACCTTTTTGACCTTTTTTGACCTTGAGAAGGTCATTGAAGGTCAAATGTCAAATCTAAAGGCAGATTTGAAGGTCAAATGTCAAATCTATAGTCAAATCTAAAGTCAGATTTGAATTTCTGAGAACATGTAGATGATTTTGAAAAAAAATTTAGTCAATGTGAAGCAAGTTGAAAAAAGACCTTTTTGACCTTGAGAAGGTCATTGAAGGTCAAATGTCAAATCTAAAGTCAGATTTAAACTTCTGAGAACATGTAGATGATTTAGAAAAAAATTGAAGGCAGTCTAAACAGTATTTGTTAAGTTATAGGAAGTTGTAAGAAATTGTTACAGACGCCGGACGCCAACCTCCAACCACCAACCGCCAACCGCCAACCACCAACCGCCGTCGCAAAAAAACGGAGACCATAACAATATGTCACCACTTTTGGTGGTGACATAAAAAGCAGATATAAATTTTTGCCAATTTTTTTTACAAAATTATTTCATTAAACTTCTGTTTACAGTGACATGTGATTTTACAGTGCAGGACACATGAAATCAGTTATAAAGCTACTGAATTCCCAAAAAGTAAATTTTCCACAACTAAAATGGCAGACACTTTAAAATAGGCAAGCTTTCGAACCTGGACTCACAAGAGGGACTTCTGTATTAAAGAGGAAAAATAACCAAACCAAATAATAATAATAACCAAAATAATTTAAAACAGAGAGAATCTTATTGACCCAGGTTTTAAAATGTGCCTCTATTGTTGACTGACTGAGAGACAAAGAGAGATTGTTTGTGCCTGTGTATCAAAATACAAAATTTGAACCAAATCTGTTCACTGGCATTTGAGTTATCAAAGATGACATTTTTTTAATTTAGCCGCCATTTTGAAAATTCTTTTTTGATCAGAGCTACTGTGTTCCTAGGTATCAGCATATCAAATTTGAACCAAATCTGTTCACTGGTATTCGAGTTTTCAAAGATTATGTTTTTATGAAAAATGAATTTAGCCGCCATCTTGAAAATTCCTTCTCAAACAAAGCTCCTTTGTCTTTAGGCATCAGCATATAAAATTTGAACAAAATTTGTCCACTAGTATTTGAGTTATCAGTATCAGTATTTAACTTATCGCCCGGACACACAAACGCACAAATGAATGGACGGATGGACAGACAGACGGATGAACAACTTCTCTATATCCCCCTCAAACTTTGTTTGAATGGGATAATTATTACATTGTTATAATATGCACTCACCTAAAAATGTGTTACAAATATACTCAGATATTTGATTTCCAGATTTACTAGATTCAGCAAAATGGCTTAGTTCTCTGTTCAACATCCTTTTAAACTGGAAAAAAAATTATTGAGTAATGTTTGTGTAATGATACAGCTTGTGTTAACTAAGCTCGTATTCGGAAATGCAACTAACGACTGTCGGCTACCGGATTAAACTTCTATTTTATGGGTAACTCATTTAATAATATAATATAGTACATACATTATATATATATAGTACCTGCCACTATTCTATTCATATTAAAAAATAGTATCGTGGGTACTGGGCTCACATGGTGTTGCTCAAAAGTGAATGATGGCTAAAATGACAACAAATAAAAAAAAAACGGCTTTTTGTAACAAAATTATTTTATACAGCTACTCTTTACATAGACATGGCTTTTTACAATGCAGGACACATGGAATTATTTGTAAACCTAGGAAATGGGCCAAAAGTGAATTCCACGAGACAAAAAATGGTGACCATTTTGAAAATAGGCATGCTTTTGAACCAGGAGTCATAGGGGAGTTTTTTGTATTGATGTTGAACAAAAATAACTTAAAACTGGAATTCTATCGATAGAGGTTTTAAAGGTCCAAAAGAGGATTTCGCGATGGCTGAAAATGGCTGAAAATGGCTGAAAATAAAAAAAACTGATATAATTTTTTGTAACAAAATTATTTCATACAACTAAAGAGAGAATCAGATATAGCAAGCAGGCTAAACAAAAAATTGTCTCAATTTTAGAATATTTTTGGCTCATATCATTCCTTGTCAATTGTCTATTTCTAAAAATAGGACCCACGGTCCTGTGCTCACACAGTTTGGAACCTTCAGAGGAATGTATATCCTGACTTTCAAACAAAAATGGATTTGTAGTCTCGAACTTTGAGAAACTTTGAGAAACTTAGATAGCACAGTTGTGTGACCCAGTTTGATAACCTCTGACCTTGAAAATTTTACTTATTCAGAGCTTAGTAAGGTCTTTTGTGATTAAGCTGACCAAAATTTACATCCAAAAATCAATTTGAAAAGTCAACTTTTTTGACCTTTCGAAGGTCACTGAAGGTCAAGTAAAGGTCAAATCCTAAGACTAATGTCAGATTTGAACTCCTGGCAACTTGTAGATGATTTTCAAAAAAAGATTTGGTCAAATTGAAGCAAGTTGAAAATAACTTATTTTTACTGTTTTTTGACGTCAAATATCTCAAAAACGGTAAAAATTTGATGCCGACATATATTGAGCAATATGTAGGGAATGCTTAAATCTAGTAATGATGTAATTCATTGCAAGAAATGATCAAGTATAAGGCAAACCTTGAGAAACAAGGTGTCAATCACAAAACCTGCCATTGACTTTATACATGAGAAAGTTTCCTGAAAATGACTAAGTCCTACTTTTTGTCAAATTTTATAGAGTAAACATCAAACACTGTAATTCCAAGAGCTTTGAAATCTTCAGATTACATAAGTTGCATATACAGCAACTACTAAAAGTTATTTGAAAGTTCTACTTCAACAAAGTGTCTAGTATTTACAGAAAATTTGACTTTTTGACGTCAAAATCCGCAATTTCTCGGAAACTGGGCGAACTTGGGAAATGGCGATGATAGGTCAAATAGGCATTATGGATATGCATAAAATGAATGTGGATATGACGCAATCCGAATAGCAGTTTTAATTTGTGCAGCCAATGTTGACGGACGGACCAACGGACGGATGGACGGACCAACGGACGGACGCCTGGTCGATCCCATAGGCTCACTGTGTGAGCCAAAAATCACAAAAGTACATACTTTATTCAAGGATAACTAAAGATTTTTACAATAATGTATTATTTTCTATAAGAATGGTTACCATTCTTATTATGTGGGAGAATTTAAACATTTTCCACCCATTTTTGCTCTTTGCGTCATTAATAACTTCACCAATTTATAACATATTGTGAATCTTTTGGGAGATATTGTATTTGATATTGTAAGGAATAGATTGGTAGGTCAATTATAAAAGTTGCTTGTAATTTTGTCACCCTTATAGATCTGATTCTGCCTTATCATAGATTTTTACAATGCAGGACACCTGAAATTATTTATAAAGCTAGGTAATGGGTTAAAAGTAAATTTCGCGAGACAAAAATGGCGGCCATTTTGAAAATAGGTGAGCTTTTGAACCAGGAGTCATAGGGCACTTTTCTGTATTGCTGTTGAACAGAAATAAATAACTTAAAACTGGAATTCTATCGATAGAGGTTTTAAGGCAATTGGTCCAAAAGAGGATTTCGCGAGACAGATGGACAAATCAATGTTAACTAAATGGCTGAAAATAAAAAAAATGGATAGAATTTTTTGCCGATTTTTTGTAACAAAATTATTTCATACAACTACTCTTTACAGTCACATGGCTTTTTACAATGCAGGACACCTGAAATTATTTGTAAACCTAGGAAATGGTCCAAAAGTGAATTTTGCGAGACAAAAATGGCGACCATTTTTAAAATAGGCGAGCTTTTGAACCAGGAGTCATGGAGAAGTTTTTGTATTGATGTTGAACAAAAATAACTTAAAATGGGAATCCTATTGACAGAGGTTTTAAGTCAAATGGTCCAAAAGTGGATTTCGCAAGACAGATGGACAAATCAATGTTAACTAAAATGGCTGAAAAAAAAAAAAAAAACGGATATAATTTTTTGTAACAAAATTATTTCACAAGGCATTAACATGACAAAATGTCACCACCTAGTTGCTCACAATATTATGAGTTCAAACTTAAGTCAGATTTGAATTTCTGAGAACTTGTAAAGTCAAATTTGAACTTCTGAAAAGATGTAGATGATTTTGAAAAAAAATTTGGTCAATTTGAAGCAAGTTGAAAACAGACCTTTTTGACCTTTTTTGACCTTGAGAAGGTCATTAAAGGTCAAATGTCAAATCTAAAGTCAGATTTGAATTCCTGAGAACATGTAGATGATTTTGAAAAAAAAAATTAGTCAATTTGAAGCAAGTTAAAAAAAGACCTTTTTGACCTTGAGAATCTTAAGTCAAATCTAAAGTCAGATTTGAATTTCTGAGAACACGTAGATGATTTTGAAAAAAAATTTTAGTCAATTTGAAGCAAGTTGAAAACAGACCTTTTTGACCTTTTTTGACCTTGAGAAGGTCATTGAAGGTCAAATGTCAAATCTAAAGTCAGATTTGAATTTCTAAGAACATGTAGATGATTTTGAAAAAAAAATTAGTCAATTTGAAGCAAGTTGAAAAAAGACCTTTTTGACCTTTTTTGACCTTGAGAAGGTCATTGAAGGTCAAATGTCAAATCTAAAGTCATATTTGAATTTCTGAGAACATGTAGATGATTTTGAAAAAAAAATTTAGTCAATTTGAAGCAAGTTGAAAAAAGACCTTTTTGACCTTTTTTGACTTTGAGAAGGTCATTGAAGGTCAAATGTCAAATCTTAAGTCAAATCTAAAGTCAGATTTGAATTTCTGAGAACACGTAGATGATTTTGAAAAAATTTTTAAGTCAATTTGAAGCAAGTTGAAAACAGACCTTTTTGACCTTTTTTGACCTTGAGAAGGTCATTGAAGGTCAAATGTCAAATCTTAAGTCAAATCTTAAGTCAGATTTGAATTTCTGAGAACACGTAGATGATTTTGAAAAAAAAATTTAGTCAATTTGAAGCAAGTTGAAAACAGACCTTTTTGAACTTGAGAAGGTCATTGAAGGTCAAATGTCAAATCTTAAGTCAGATTTGAAGGTCAAATCTAAAGTCAGATTTGAATTTCTGAGAACATGTAGATGATTTTGAAAAAAAATTTAGTCAATGTGAAGCAAGTTGAAAAAAGACCTTTTTGACCTTGAGAAGGTCATTGAAGGTCAAATGTCAAATCTAAAGTCAGATTTGAACTTCTGAGAACATGTAGATGATTTAGAAAAAAATTGAAGTCAGTCTAAACAGTATTTGTTAAGTTATAGGAAGTTGTAAGAAATTGTTACAGACGCCAACCGCCGTCGCAAAAAAACGGAGACCATAACAATATGTCACCACTTTTGGTGGTGACATAATACAACTACTCTTCACATTGACATGGATTTTTACAATGCAGGATACCTGAAAACCTGAAATTATTTGTAAAGCTAGGAAATGGGTTAAAATTTCGGGAAACAAAAATGGCAGCCATTTTGAAAATAGGTGAGCTTTTGAACCAGGAGTCATAGGGCAGTTTTCTGTATTGATATTGAACAGAAATAATTTAAAACAGGAATCCTATTGTTTTAAAACGTGCCACTATTGTTGATGGAAAAGTGGATTTCGCGAGTCAGGACAAATCAATGTTAACTAAAATGGCTGAAAATAAAAAAAATGACTACGATTTTTTGCTGATTTTTTGTAACAAAATTATTTCATACAATTATAGTCTAGAATATTTTCAAAATAAAAGCCTCTAGAAAGAGAGAGTTCTTACATTTTGGCGAGCACCCTAGAGACCTGTTTCAAAATAATCCTTTATATCTTAGAAACGATTTTTGAGATTTGCCAAAGTGAACGAGGTGTCGAAATGCACTAATTAGATGATAAATTAGTATAGCATTCCTCATTTCTTAACTAGTTCAATCAATACAACCAGTGCTGATCACCACATAAATGCCAAAAACAGCTATGGTCAATGTGTCAATTGTTTCATGCTGGACATGTGCCAGTGTTTTGAAAAATCCATAGATTACAGTACTCAATCTGCTTTGATTGATTTTACTGAACTAGTAAACCAATAATCAGAATCACACTACAGCATTGCAGCATTGTCTGCTCCTCAGATTCTCTAGCTTCAAGCCTTTGTGACCCCTCCCCCCTCTTCTTGAGTAAACATCTTCTCACGCATAGCCTGAGCTAGACACACAACAGTGCAATTAAGAAGGGATATTTTGATGTACCAAGCTAAGAGGATACTTGGTCTATTGATCTTGACTTGTGTGCTAAGACTGTAACAAAGAGTTTTCGTAACATGCTTGATATTTAAAATTGATGGTACCAATGAAATTACAGTCGATAAATAAATGAGAACCAGAACAACGGCAACGCCAAAGCGTAGCGAATCCCATCGAACAAAAATGGCTGGCATTTTACAAACAAAATATATATAGCAAATATCGTAAAATAACACACATAAGAAAGGCCACCATTTTCAAAATGGTTGCTCACTAGCCAAGTTGTCACCAGAAGAAGTAATATGCTTTTAAGTAGCCACATATAAAATTTTTAAAAGATCGCCAACGCATACATGTAAATGCTGGCCATTTCTTAAAATGGCCGCCTACTACCCAAAATGTCATAAGACAGTATGCAATCCTTACGAGTATTCACATATCAAATATGAACAAAATTGCTCTATTACTTTTTGAATTATAATAAAAAATGTAAAATAACACACATAAAAATGGTGGCCATTTTTCAAAATGGCCCACTATTCCTCAAAGTTTTATTAGACAATGTGCCATGCTAAAAGTATTCACATATCAAATATGAACAAAATCACTCCAATACTTTTGGAGTTATAGCAAAAAATGTAAAAATGACGGCCATTTTTTAAAATCGCCACGTTCTATGCGAAGTGTCATGAGACAGTGTGCAAGGTTCATAAGTATTCACATATCAAATCTGAACAAAATCGCTCCACTACTTTTCAAGTTATAGTAAAAAACGTAAAAAATGGTACTACCCAAAATGTCATTAGACATTCGGCCATGCTTAAAGTATTCACATACCAAATATGAACAAAATCGCTCAACTACTTTTTGACTTACAGTAAAAAAATGTTAAATAACATACGTAAAAATGGCGCCCATTTTGAAAAATGGCCACCTACTACCAAAAATGTCAATAGACATTGTGTCATGCTTAAAGTATTCACATACCAAATATGAACAAAATCGCTCAACTAAGTTACAGCAAAAATCGTAAAAAGATGAGCAAAGGCAGCCATTTTTCAAGATTGCTGCCATGTATTTCTTCTGTATTTACATTTCTAGCTTAATCAATGTCCTATATAACTTTTTTACATTTAAAACATATTGCTATTACAGTTTTATATGCAGTACCTAAATAACTGTAAAATCGGCACTAAAATGGCCGCCATTTTTAAATGAGTGGCCATTTTGAAAATCCATTTTCAGGCAGAACGACTACCCCCATTGGGTATATGTGTACAGAATCTGTACTTCGTTCGATGGGATAATAAAGGATAGTCTATAGAAGACTTTTAATTTCCCCCAAAACAATAACAATAGTTGGCTTCTGACAAGCGGCAAATTATCAAAAACAAACGGCGATTTCTGACCCTCGCCGCCTGCTATTGAAAGCCCAGTAAATATGACGGTAAATTAAATTTGTTTCGAGCTCTATGATTTTTGAAGATTTTTTCTTTTTACTGGAGCGACACCTTGGTGAACAAGAAGATAGTCTACGGCCAGAAATTCTCAAACACATGGAGTTTTTCACTATTTTGAGCAAATTGGAATGATTTTTAGCCAACACTGTCAAAAAGCTCCCCCTTGGCCGGGGGGGGGGGGGTACTGGTCAAATTTTTTTAAAAGGGGGGAGGGGTGCCGGTGAGACTCAAAATACCTACCCAATTAATTTTTTCAAAAACAGTACCCATACAGTTTTAGGATTTTTCAAAGAGTAGACCCAGTTCTAGGGATTTTTCATCAAAATGGGACTCATATCTAGTGTTTTTTCTTCAAAATGGGACCCACATCTAGGGATTTCTGGTGAAAAAGTGACCCACTTTAGCGGCACGGCAAAAATAGCTTCTATAATTCTATGAATGTTCATCTCTCTGGTAGTAATGTCAGGCCTGTCAACTTGGGAACACCTAACATGAGTGACTTGGAAATGTTGAACACCTCCCCTCAAAATGTGGACACCTTGGTCCAAATCTGAACACCTTGATCCAAATTTTGAACACCTTGGTTTAAATTTTATTACACCTTGCCAAATTTTGAACACCTCAAATTTTTCGCGCTCGCTAACCTCGCATTTAAAACATCCATCAACGGGGGGGGGAGGTACGAAAGATTTCAAACGGAATGCGTGACATATACGTAATTCGCGTGAAAAGTCCGAACGAAATGCGTACACTTTTTTCCGGCGTTCGTATTTTTGCTGTGTAGACGATCTTTTTTAGAAATTTTTCTACAGAAATATTTTTGCTTGACAATTACCAGGTAAAATGCGTATTTGCGTGACATTTTCTGTCACGCAAAAATAACTGGCGTGACTTCAAATTCTTCAGCAAATGCGTGACAAATACGCAAATTGTGGGACAGTTGACAGGCCTGCAGTTTGAAGTTCGAAAACCGGGTAAAATTGGTTAAAGTAAATTGTATATGATAATCAGAGCCGGAATTCAGAGGTACGCGACTAAAATAACGAGGAATTAAAAATAGCATAAAGACCATATAGACTGCAATCAGGGCAGGGTGCTACTGAATCTGGTAGTTCAAGCGTACATGCTAGTATGAGGGGCAACATTTACGGTAAAGAGTTTTGATTCAATTTTACGCCCACCTTTCCGACGTCTGTGTCCCCCTCATTTTTCCAACCCTATATTCAGTTTCTTATTAAACCAAATTTACAAATATCCGTCCACATGTACAAGATATTAAATCAGTAGTTGCTTATGACATGATTATGTTTATAGATTATCAAAAATTAAGGTAGCTATTTGTAATTTTTTCAACTATATGTTAGCCCCCCCTCCCCTTCGCTGACAGTAATGTATTGTTTAAAATAATACTGCACCCCCAGCCAATTATTCTTTCACCATTTTGAGCAGTTTTTGTGTGATTTTGAACAAATATCAAATGTGACCCCACCCCATGGCCAACCACAAGTGCAGAGTGAACCCCTCAACCTAATCATAATTTTGTATTTTGTGCTATCAATGTACCCTTCTATAATGCCTTCGGGCGACTGAAGGGATTTATATTATGATATTTTTATGAAGCAATAAATATTTCTTAATAAAAAACAACAAAAAAAACCCACCCCTGGAATAAGTTAGCCCCCCCTCACTGACAGGGATGTCTTGTTTAAAATAATACTGTATCCCCTGGCCAATAATTCTTTCACCATTTTGAGCAGTTTTCGTGTAATTTTGAGCAAATATCAAATGTGACCCCACCCCTGGAATAAGTAAGCCCCCCCTCACCGACAGAGATGTCTTGTTTAAAATAATACTGTATCCCCTGGCCATCCGTAATCTCTGATATGACGTCATCCGGAGTGGCGTCACATTCTCAGAAAAAACATTTGACTTCGGGAATAATCATTTGAACAACGGAGATAGTCGAAGTGCTCCATTAAATATACGCTCGCTTATTTTATGCTTATATAAACAGACGCTTTCTTGAATGTGTGGCTTTAGTGATTGGAGTTGAAGCTAACAACAGTACGCATCGTTTGAGGTATGACATGTGATATTTATTGATAAACTGACTCCAAAATCAAGGAAAAATAAATTTTCCGAAGATCGCGTGTCTTGTCCTTGAGTATATTTATTGAGCCTAGAACCAGAGGAGCTTATCTGGCAGAGGTCCGTGATCGCACCCATCAAACCCCCCCCCCCCATGTGATTCATGTGGGAGGGTATTGGTAGGATCCATTTTCAATAGTAAAAACAGGGGTTCTTAAACAAGACATGAAGCTTAACTAAGGCCTTTTGAAAATGTTTGCTACATGTAGCTCTATGTGTGTTTATTGGAGTATGTCCATCTATTAAAGAGAATACAGTATATAAGAAAAACAAATTTCAAGGAAATACTCTGCAACAAAAGCAAGAATCACTGTTGCAAAAATAAAAATATACATATTCTAACTAACATTTAAAAAAATAGTTCTACCTTGCTGGTTGCCATGTCACTGACAGAGCGATGTGTTTGTATTGTTTCCAACTGATCCAGACACCAGTCCAGTTCTTCTAATGTTTCTACTGCCAGTTTATTATATTGCTCATCTATAAGAAACAAACATTGAGCATTCAATTTTATACAGCATACATGTATTTTCATACACAGGGTGATCAATAAAGTTCACAGTGATGCTTTATCTCAAACGTGGTGGAAATGTATATAAATGTATGTATGTACAGTACATTCCTTATTAGACCCTGAAAAAGTAAAGAAATATCACTTAATACAACTTCAGTTATGAAGGTTGAGACAACTGGAGTCTTGGTACTTTATGCACATCAGTAAATAGGTGGAGCACTGGAGTTGTACTCACAGATAAACAAATACATAATTTATTTAAACACAAAATAGTTTCCTTAATGGAAAATGGAAACATACCAAATACAATTTAACCCTTAAATGGTTTTTTGTTTTTTACACCCTCTAAAGGTTTTTGGGGTCCAAATGATATATTTTGCAATTACAAATGTACTTTGCTACCAGAGAAGCTTTTTTCATTCTGACTTCAGTTTTACATAGGTTAATCTACAGTATTACCTTTCAGAATATGTATGCATTACTTATCATGAATGCATGGAAATATGTGTAAACCTAATCATAAGGGGTCAGGTGTTTTAGCACTTTGTAACATTTCGTAGCATTTATATATAACACTGTATTAATTGATAATGTGATGTTCTTTGGCCTCAGGTAGCACAAAAAGTCATAATGCGATTTATATCTGGTTTGTTTTATCTGAAAGGAATTGGATTAATTGAGGATTAGATGGAATTTCATGTTGATAGAATGATTATTTCTGATATAATTATTGCAAAGAATAAGCTCTTGGGTCCAAACGGACTCCAAAAACCATTTAAGGGTTAAAACAACTACCTCTCCAAGATCTACACAGAGTTAATAATTGAAGCAAGTCATTATGTTTCAATTTGTGTTGCACTTGGATCATAGTTGGACACTTATATGTAAGACAAAAGTCCATGTGCAGTATGGCAAGTGATTTTAGACGGTCATATCTTTCACCATGAGTATTTTCTAGGTATAAATACAGTGGATTTTATTAAAACAATATGTTTTCTTTCAAGTGAAGTCCCCATGATTAAAAAAACAAAATTATTTCATATATCTACTCTTTACATTGACATGGATTTTTACAATGTAGGACACCTGAAATTACTTGTAAAGCTAGGAAATGGGTCAAAAGTGAATTTCGCAATACAAAAATGGTGGCCATTTTGAAAATAGGGGAGCTGTTGAACCAGGAGTCATAGGGGAGTTTCCTGTATTGATGTTGAACAGAAATAACTTAAAACAGGAATCCTAACGACAGAGGTTTTAAAACGTGCTACTATTGTTGATGGATGGACGCATGCACGCACGGACAGACGGACAGACAGATGGACAAGTGAGTGATTGCAAAAGCTCACCATGTGAGCTAAAAAAACATTTAATCAATTTGAAGCAACATGAAGAAAAATACCTTTTTGACCTTTTAAACCTTATTTGACCTTGAAAAGGTCATTGAAGGTCAAATCTTAAATTTTAAGTCAGATTTGAACTTCTGAAAACTTATAGATGATTTTGAAAAAAATTGAAGTCAGTTTAAACAGTATTTTGTTAAGTTATTAGAAGTTGTAAGAATTTTTTACAGACCTCACCCACCGATCACCAAGCTTTTTTTTTACCTTGAAAAGGTCATTGAAGGTCAAAGCTTAAGTCAGATTTGAACTTCTGAAAACTTGTAGATGATTTAAAAAAAAAATGAAGTCCGTCTTCATTATTCATATTTTACAATATGTATTTGTAAATTGATCTTTTGTATTTGTTAAATGTAGATTTATGTTTGTCCTGTAACTTGAGTATTTTTTGCATTTTTTGCTTGTAAATTAGTTAATGAAAACACAGAATGAAATCCTGTGCTAAGGGCTAATGTGAAAAAGTCAGTCTACCCCAGTGGGGATCGAACCCACGAACCCTGGCTTACAAGTTGATTAACTGTTTGTTAATTTAATTTCTTTCTTTATAACGTATATGTAAGTGTTTTATACTGAAAAACATTTGAAAGTCCTTACAAGTATTTGTTAGTGTCACAAGTGACATTGCATATCCGTATACAAATAAATTTGAGTTCATTTTGTACTTGTATCCGGAATGTTATAATAAAATAGTACCATGGGTACTGGGCTCACATGGTGTTGCTCAAAAGTGAAAGATGGCTAAAATGACAGAAAATAATCTTTTTGCAATGCAGGACACCTGAAATTATTTGTAAAGCTAGGAAGTGGGCCAAAATTGAATTTTGTGAGACAAAAATGGCAACCATTTTGAAAATAGGCAAGCTTTAGAACCAGGAGTCATAGGGGAGTTTTTTGTATTGATGTTGCACAAAAATAACTTGAAACTGGAATCCTATCGACAGAGGTTTAAAGGCAAATGGTCCAAAAGAGGATTTCGCGAGACAGATGGACAAATCAATGTTAACTAAAATGGCTGAAAATAAAAAAACAGATATAATATTTTGCCGATTTTTTGTAACAAAATTATTTCATACATCTACTCTTTACATTGACATGGATTTTTACAATGTAGGACACTTGAAATTATTTGTAAAGCTAGGGAATAGGTCAAAAGTGAATTTCGCGAGACAAAAATGGCGGCCATTTTGAAAATAGGCGAGCTTTTGAACCAGGAGTCATAGGGGAGTTTTCTGTATTGATGTTGAACAGAAATAACTTAAAACAGGAATCCTATCGACAGAGGGTTTAAGGTAAATGGTCCAAAAGTGAATTTTGCGAGACAGATGGACAAATCAATGTTAACTAAAATGGCTGAAAATAAATAAATGGATATAATTTTTCGTAACAAAATTATTTCATACATCTACTCTTTACATTGACATGGATTTTTACAATGTAGGACACTTGAAATTATTTGTAAAGCTAGGAAATGGGTCAAAAGTGAATTTCGCGAGACAAAAATGGCGGCCATTTTGAAAATAGGCGAGCTTTTGAACCAGGAGTCATAGGGGAGTTTTCTGAATTGATGTTGAACAGAAATAACTTAAAACAGGAATCCTATCGACAGAGGTTTTAAAACGTGCCACAGAAAGTGGATTTCGCGAGTCAGATAGACAAATCAATGTTAACTAAAATGGCTGAAAATAAAAAAATGGATACAATTTTTCGCTGATTTTTTGTAACAAAATTATTTCATATATCTACCCTTTACATTGACATGGATTTTTACAATGTAGGACACTTGAAATTATTTGTAAAGCTAGGAAATGGGTCAAAAGTGAATTTTGCGAGACAAAAGTGACGGCCATTTTGAAAATAGCCGAGCTTTTGAACCAAGAGTCATAGGAGAGTTTTTTGTATTGATGTTGAACAAAAATAACTTAAAATGGGAATCCTATTGACAGAGGGTTTAAGGTTAATGGTTCAAAAGTGAATTTTGCGAGACAGATGGACAAATCAATGTTAACTAAAATGGCTGAAAATAAATAAATGGATATAATTTTTCGCTGATTTTTCGTAACAAAATTATTTCATACATCTACTCTTTACATTGACATGGATTTTTATAATGTAGGACACTTGAAATTATTTGTAAAGCTAGGAAATGGGTCAAAAGTGAATTTCGCGAGACAAAAATGGCGGCCATTTTGAAAATAGGCGAGCTTTTGAACCAGGAGTCATAGGGGAGTTTTCTGAATTGATGTTGAACAGAAATAACTTAAAACAGGAATCCTATCGACAGAGGTTTTAAAACGTGCCACAGAAAGTGGATTTCGCGAGTCAGATAGACAAATCAATGTTAACTAAAATGGCTGAAAATAAAAAAATGGATACAATTTTTCGCTGATTTTTTGTAACAAAATTATTTCATATATCTATCCTTTACATTGACATGGATTTTTACAATGTAGGACACCTGAAATTATTTGTAAAGCTAGGAAATGGGTCAAAAGTGAATTTTGCGAGACAAAAGTGACGGCCATTTTGAAAATAGCCGAGCTTTTGAACCAAGAGTCATAGGAGAGTTTTTTGTATTGATGTTGAACAAAAATAACTTAAAATGGGAATCCTATCGACAGAGGGTTTAAGGTAAATGGTCCAAAAGTGAATTTTGCGAGACAGATGGACAAATCAATGTTAACTAAAATGGCTGAAAATAAATAAATGGATATAATTTTTGCTGATTTTTCGTAACAAAATTATTTCATACATCTACTCTTTACTTTGCAATGGATTTCTACAATGTAGGACACTTGAAATTATTTGTAAAGCTAGGAAATTGGTCAAAAGTGAATTTCACGAGACAAAAATGGCTGCCATTTTGAAAATATGCGAGCTTTTGAACCAGGAGTCATAGGGGAGTTTTCTGAATTCATGTTGAACAGAAATAACTTAAAACAGGAATCCTATCGACAGAAGTTTTAAAACGTGCCACTGTTATTGACAGAAAGTGGATTTCGCGAGTCAGATAGACAAATCAATGTTAATTAAAATGGCTGAAAATAAAAAAATGGATACAATTTTTCGCTGATTTTTTGTTACAAAATTATTTCATATATCTAATCTTTACATCGACATGGATTTTTACAATGTAGGACACCTGAAATTATTTGTAAAGCTAGGAAATGGGCCAAAAGTGAATTTCGCGAGACAAAAGTGACGGCCATTTTGAAAATAGGCGAGCTTTTGAACCAGGAGCCATAGGGGGGTTTTCTGTATTGATGTTGAACAGAAATAACTTAAAACAGGAATCCTATCGACAGAGGTTAGCTAGGAAATGGGCTAAAAGTGAATTTCGCGAGAAAAAAGTGACGGCCATTTTGAAAATAGGCGAGCTTTTGAACCAGGAGTCATAGGGGGGTTTTCTGTATTGATGTTGAACAGAAATAACTTAAAACAGGAATCCTATCGACAGGTTTTAAAACGTGTCACTATTGTTGACGGACAGACGGACGGACGGACAGACGGACAAGTGAGTGATTGCAAAAGCTCACCATGTGAGCTAATAAAAACCCTTCGACCTGCACCTTTGACTTATTGACGTTTTATACTCAGTTATGCATGCAGTTAGTAAACGATGTGAAAATGAAAACAGTTCTTGAATTCAAGCAAATGATTTCCATCGATCGTTTCTTGGCCTCCTCCGTTGAAGAGTATAAAGAATTGCACAAGGGCAATGGGGGGGGGGATCGGTGCCAGTCCTTTTTTGGTTCTGTTTTTGCGCATGCGTATTAAATCCAGTAATTTGATTTGTTTAAATTATTAAACGCATGGATGTGCCCTACATAACTGAAATACAGATATAATTTGAGATAGGTAGGTATCACTTTACTTAAATTATTTCACAAATGCACCTTATATTGCAGGAATATTTGTCTAGTGTAAACCACAGGCTAATAGGTCGATAGAAATAATTTTAAAATAAAGATGGCATGGTAATCGATCTGTGTTTATTTACATTATAAGATAATACTAGGATTCTGTTGGTGCTATCTTTATAGTCTCCAATCGATGCGGGAATGTTGATCGATCATGTATATAATATTTCTACGGCTGCAAGGAGAAGGCATTCCATCTGTATCTATTAAAATTTGTCTGTTTAACCAATTACTAAGTATGATGGTAAATTAAATTTGATTTTGTACTGGAGCGACACCTTGGTGAACAAGAAGATACTGGTCAAATTTTTTTACAGGGGGTGGGGTGCCTGTGAGACTCAAAATACCTACCCAATTAATTTTTAAAAAACAAGACCCACTTCCGGCGATTTTTTCAAAAACAGTACCCATACAGTTTTAGGATTTTTCAAAGAGTATAGACCCAGTTCTAGGGATTTTTCATCAAAATGGGACTCATATCTAGTGTTTTTTCTTCAAAATGGGACCCACATCTAGGGATTTTCCAGTGAAAAAGTGACCCACTTTAGCGGCACGTCCCCATACAGTATAGCCAATATGTGGTAAATCCTGGCTGCAGGCCTGCTAGTCACGTCATGGACTTAAGTGAATGTTTCTAACGTATTTCCTAATAGGCCTACTTATATACGTGTTTACAATTATATGACTTATATGGAAATCCTTGTATGGAAATATAATATACAGGGTGTCAAAAAACAATGGCACCCCCTTCTACAGCAAAAAGTACTAAATGTTACATGGTGTGTCATATCTAATTTAAAAGACAATTTAATTCTGGAGTTACCTGAGAAATTTCAGCTTTATATCATATAATCTTACAGATTTACAGCTGATTCTTAGTAGTTGGTATGCCCAAAATTCACATAAAGGTCTAGCATTGCATAATCCTCTTCGCACTTTCCTCACATTCTTCAGAAATACATCCATACTGTGTCTTTTTTCAAGAGGCTCTTTGTCCATTAGTTCCTATACCCTGTTTTTAAGAAATGAACCCATATGTTCAGTGCAGTTGAAATCTGAGGTAATTCTCTCATATTTCACTTTCTGAAGATTTGACTTTTAACCAGTAACAGGGCAGCAAAGAAGGTACCGAAGTACTAAACTTTGAAACAATGTAGCTTTTTTAATATTAAGTTTAATTAAATGAAATTTGATGAGTAACTCCAGAATTAAATTATCTTTCAAATGAGGTATGACACGATATGGAACATTAAGGACGTTTTGCTGTAGAGGGGGGTGCCATTCCTGGGGGGTTCACTGTGTACAAAATTTGGCAGGGGTCAATATATTCCCATACTAAAATGTCAAATTTGAATGTGTTCCCATACCAACCGATATAGTGCCCAAAAGCCATCCCAAATGCCCAAATATGAAACCAATGCCATACCAAATGTCAAAATATAGGACCAATGCCATACCAATGCCATGACTGGTCCAAAGTAGAATATTTCCTGGGAAAAAAGCTATTTATTTAAACTGAAGAAGGTCCCAAGAAGAAGGCGATCTTAGAGGAAAACGAACCAAAACAACCTCATATTAGGATATGTGTAACTACTAGACCAATTCCATACCATAATTGTGAGATAACATATTTTCCATGACCATTCTCATACCAGAAAGTTGAAAAATCTGACCATTTCCATCCCTCAAAAGTTTAATGAGGGGGCATTCTCATGCCACATCCTAAAATTTAGGTCCATTGCCATACCAAATGTCCAAAAAGGTACCCCATGTGCGCCGAGGATCCCCGTCAATATTTATATACTGAGTGAACCCCCCGGGGTGCCATTGTTTTTTGACACCCTGTAGTTTCGAAAGAAAATATGACTCTTGCGTGGTCTGAGATCGGCAAAAATAGCTTCTATAATATTTTCTTTTTAGACACCCTGTAGGTCGAAGGTGCAGGTCGAAGGGTTTTTATAACATTCCCTTGTATCCTTGTTTCTGCAAATATATTAGAAGTTTAATATTTACAAACTGATTGTCAAATTAAACTAGAAAAATAGCAAGAGATAAGGTAACATTTGATCTTACCTGTTTTAGCATTAAGGGTTTGTTGTGACCCTGGGCTTTGATGAATATTAGTGCTATGATGGGCACCTGATGCTGCTGAGCCACGTCGCGATCTGCAATGCATAAAAAGATATATAAACAACTCAGTTATCTAGTGTGAGTCTATTTTGTGTTGTAAAGGTCCACATAGGTTATTGCAAGCTTTTTTAGACAGCCATAACTTAAATTCTAAGAATTATTTACCACAAAAACAAATGTATGTTAGCCTCATGTGTTATCTTCAATAACAGACATATGAATGATAATTAACTCAATTCAGGGTTCTCACCAGGAAACTTTTAGACCCCAGATATTTAGCGGTATTGTGACTACTTTTTTCGCGGTATCGCGACTACTTCTCCCCCATCTGAGATCAGAGATATCCTATTAGTATACTTTTCAACATACTTCTTAAGATTATCTTGCTATTTTAATCCCAATATTTATTATCCCAACGAACGAAGTCAGTCCGTCCGTCTGTCCATCCGTCTGTCCGGATGATAACTTGAATACTAGTTGACAGATTTTCTTCATATTTGGTGGAAAGATGTACAGGGTTGGCCAATAAAAACTGGAACATTTTTCTATTTATTCTATTCTCTTTATTTTTGCAGTTCAATCCACAAAAACTCAGATACTGGTAAAATGATTATTTGTGAAAATGTTAAAGATTAAAGTATGTATGTATGATTAATTTTGGCTTGTCATGGTCATGATCTGCACACTGCGTGCATCATGAAAAATTTCCAAATTTTCTCTGCTTGAGACATCACTGTTGAAAATACAGTATCTTTCATACCATACAATATATACCCTTCAAATGGTCTTAACACGATTTCCATCAATTTAAACTATATGTAGTTATCTCTAGGAGAAGCAAGACATGTCTACCTTGAATAATATAGTTTAAATGACATCAACTTGTTTTCAAAACTGGCACAATAAGTGACAATTAATATATCTCAAAACCTGTCATTTAAGCCATGAATGACTGTCAAACACAGCTCAGACTGATTGTTCAGGTAGGTGGCAGACAAGTTCAGGAAACCCTTGTAGTCAAAAAATTGGAACATTTTCCATCGATTGTAACTTTTTTGTTAGTCATGTATTATCTTCAATACTTTAGAAAAAAGTATTGATTCATTTATTCATTCTTCATACATAACATAGCAAATCCTACAAAGAAAAGCTTGACAAGGCAAGGGGATCTTCTGATATGCCTAAAATGAGAGGGTGCACCCCAGTTGTCCGAAACCCAGCTGTCCGAAACCCAGTTGTCCGAAACCCATTACTCCGAAAAATATAGTCATAATTGAAAAAGGGGAGACGTACTTAAGCTTAGGCCAGTTTCATGCCTCTCTCTCCCTCCCTCCCTCCCTCCCTCCCTCCCTCCCTCCCTCCCTCCCTCCCTCCCTCCCTCCCTCCCTCCCTCCCTCCCTCCCTCCCTCCCTCCCTCCCTCCCTCCCTCCCTCCCTCCCTCCCTCCCTCCCTCCCTCCCTCTCTCTCTCTCTCCCTCCCCCTCTCTCTCTCTCTCTCTCTCTCTCTCTCTCTCTCTCTCTCTCTCACTTTGAATTGCATCCATTGCACGCGTTACCAGAATATAAAAAAAGGTTATCAAAACACAATATATATTACGGAACAGTTTATCTTATCTTCTTCAATCTCTTTTATATACATGTAGGCAAAATAAAATGAATCATTTTCGTCGCATTTAATTTCCTAGTCTCTGTATCTTATCAAATCGTAAAAGAACAAAACATTCTTAACTTAATCACTTGGGATCAACTGGAAACGAAGACAGGCTGTCCTCGTATCAAAATGGATGTTCTCCCATTCGCAAGAAGTTTCATATTCGCCATGTACTCACTTCATCCTTTTGATTTAATCTCTATTTCTCGAACAGAGTACGTAATTGAAGAATAAGTTTTGGTTTGAAAAGATGTACATGTTAACTTTATTAAATAAATGCCCACTGGCTTGGGAAAGCTATTTTTCCTTTTATGAACGCCCATCCCCCATTGGAAAAACGTTGTTCCCTCTCAAAAAAGGCCAATGGGCCATAAAGAAAATTGGTTTAAAAATTGTAGACCCCTATGTATGTTGTGTAAACGCCATTTTACAATGAGAATAACATAATTTAACTTTGTTTGTTTGAACATCTATATCACCTGTATATGAACTTTCGTAGGCTAGCCTAAACATTAAACAATTAACGTCTTGACTTAGCATATTTAGCCTAATTTTTCAATGATGTCAACGTTATTCCAATGTTATGTTGTGATTCGCAGAGGTTGCGACAACGAGTTTCGTTTAGAAAAATTGTATTTTTCAAATAAGATCCCCCTAATTTTCGGAGAACTTGGTTTCGGACAACTGGGTTTCGGAAAACTGGGTTTCGGACAACTGGGTTTCGGACAACTGGGTTGACCCCAAAATGAGAATTGTTGAATGAAGTTGATTTGATTCAATTACTCAACACCACTGGATTTCCAGATAGATAGAGTCCTATATGATCGTCACAGTCTCAAAAAACCTAGTCATTTAAACCAAAATCATTTGTATCCCTCAATTCATCTTGCTTGTTTCTTGTCATGGATTTGAAGGTTTGGCACATATTGTTGCACTTTTATTTCAGTTGCACTTGATTGGTGTCTTTTTTGTTTCACATCTGTTTGCATCCCAACATTCACTTTTTTTTATTCTGTCTCCAGGATTCCTCAATTGCAATATTGAAGTAAATCCACTGTCAAAGTCACCTTTTTTTGCTGTGTCAGTTTCATTGTTATTGTTTACAATTTCACTGTTTCCATTAGTTCTGTTTTTAAACAAGTCTCTATTTAGTACAGGTGTAACAGGTGTTGACTGTTCATATAATCCTAGTACATTTTGTTCATGGTGTTTAGGTTCACTCAATAGTTTTTTGTTAGAGTTGTAATCACTAATCCTATCAGCATCTCTTATAAGTCTACTTGGTAACTTGGTACTGGTTTGTGACCTTGGGTTGCCAAAATGGTGTGCTTTATATTCCAATGTAATAGTAGTTCCATTGTTTGTTGAATTTATTTTGTACTGTATCCTCCTAGAATGCACCCTTCCTCTTGTAACTCACTAATCAGATGCTCAACTATCTTGGGAATCATTGTTTCTTTTTATTTTCTGCAAAGTTCAATATATTTCACTGATTTTTACCTTTTTTCACGAGCACTTTTTCCCCCTGTTGCTTTGTTGCTTGACCTGGCCTTTAGAAAATTGAAAAAAATAATTCATTGTATATACTGTAAATATGAATATACAAGCTCAACATTTAATTACTGAACATGTCCTCCACCCACATGAACAATCAGTCTGAGCTGTATTTGACAGTCATACTTTGGTTTTAACTGCCCTGTCAACCCTCACGCATTAGGCGTGATTGTCACGCATTTGCTGGAAAAATAGAAATCACGCATCAATTTAGCGTGTGTGATCAAATATCACGCAAATCACGCATTTTGTTGATATTTTTAAAAATCGTTTTTTGTGAAATGGCGACACGGTAAAAAAGCGAAAGGCGAAAAAAAGCGAACGCATTCCGTTCTGTCTCTGCACGCGATTGCCGTTTATGTCACGCATTTGGTACAAATTGTATGATATATCACGCATTTGTTTCGAAAATATTTACACCTACCCCCCCTTGAAGGAAGGTGTTCAACATTTTGAAGTCACTCATGTTAGATGGTCCCAAGTTGACAGACCTGCTTTAATGACAGGTTTTGAGACATATTGTGCCAGTTTTGAAAAAAACTGAAGTCAGTTAATTAGTCATATTATCCAAGGGAGACATGTCTAGCTTCTCTTAGAGATAACTACATACCGTATTCTCTGTAATTAGCGCCCAGGGCGTTTAGAAAATTGAAAATACATTATTTAGACCATTCTAATAAGCGCCCATGTATGAAAGAAATCAGAAATCCCGAGGAATTTCATGTATGGCAATTTTTCTTGACAAGAATGCATTTTCTTCAACATATTTTTATAATAATATGACAAGTGCTGTTATTGGAGAGAATACGGTAAAGATCGCTTAGACAATATTGACAGTGGTTGAAGACCCGTCTATGTCTAATTTATTTCCGGCACGCCCACTTTGTCATTATCGCCGATTACCTTCAATATTTCCACTAGAGACTGCTGGATATCGATCTAAAGTTATACATTATTTCTAATTTGATGAGAGATCATCATTATTCGTGCAAAAGTCGTGTAAAAGTCGAGAAACATTAAAAAGAAACCAGAAAGTTCACGACCTTGACATGCGCAGAACATCTGCGCAGTAGCTTTTGAAATTTCTGAATGCCGATAAAGAACAATTCCTTCATTCATTATGGACTATTTGGAGACAATATTAGCATGGTATGGTGTGGGAATCACCCATCGATAGATATGTATCGAGAGGATGCATAGAATTACAAAACGCGTCGTGTTTACAGCAGTTTTAGGGTAAGTACTCTATTATCGCCCGCTCCTCGATTTTGAGAAATATTTTTTTCCTGATATATTCTTCAATTCTTGTTGATTCCTCGATGTTTCTTGAACTTTGTGAAGCGGGGTGGGCGCTTATTAGAGAGTGGGCGCTAATTACAGAGAATACGGTATGTTTTAATTCATGGAAATTGTGTTGAGACTATATGAAAGGCATATATTGTATGGTATGAGATACTGTATTTTCAGTGGGGTCAACCCAGTTGTCCGAAACCCAATTCTCCAAAATCCAGTTTTCCGAAACCCAGTTCTCCGAAAATTAGGGGATCTTATCTAAAAAATACAATTTCTTAAAACGAATCTTGTCGCAACCTCTGCCAATCATGACAGCATAACATTTGAATCACGTTGACATCATTGCAAAATTAGGCTAAATATGCTAAGTCAAGACGTTAATTATTTAATGTTTAGCCCACGAAAGTTCATGGGTAACTTGAGAACTACAAAATACAACCAAATACTTTTCGAACGTACAATCATAGCAATATTTCTCACCTAATGTCTTCATGTTTAAGGAACGTATTTTAAACGCATGATAGCCAAATATATCAAGATACTATATCTGCCTAAATGAAGTTATCTAGTGTTGACAAAGTTTTGAAATATATTTTATCCAGATCCATCAGAAATTAACTTATCCAATAAATCACTTTACTAGTTCTAGTATCTTGCATGACTCGTTCATAAGAATTCTTTAATTCTACCTCGTTCCCAATACATGTACGTCCTCAGACAGACAAGAAATCGAAGTCACACCTGTTTGTTTTATATACGTATACGCAGTTTCTCTGATTATTGTCAAACAAATACATTTCAGGAGAAAAACATAAAAAACAAATGCCTGAAACGAATGCCGAGAAAGAAATCCCAAGTGATTAAGTTTAGAATGTTTTGTTCTTTTACGATTTGATAAGAGACCGAGACTAAGAAATTAAATGCGACGAAATATTTTGACAACGTAATATGTATACTGTTTTATTCTTAGAGTTCTATGCGATAACTTATTTTATCTGTTTCAAAATGTTTCATTTTATATTGCCTATATAAAAGAGGGGTCAACCCAGTTGTCCGAAACCCAGTTGTCCGAAACCCAATTCTCCGAAACCCAGTTCTCCGAAAATTAGGGGATCTTATCAAAAAATACAATTTCTTAAAACGAATCTTGTCGCAACCTCTGCGAATCACGACAGCATAACATTTGAATCACGTTGACATCATTGCAAAATTAGGCTAAATCAAAGTCTAAGTCAAGACGTTAATTACCCCACAAAAGTTCATGGGTAACTTGAGAACTACAAAATACAACCAAATACTTTTCGAACGTACAATAGCAATATTTCTCACCTAACATCTTCATAGTTTTAGGAACGTATTTTAAACGCATGATAGCCAAATATATCAAGATACTATATCTGCCTAAATGAAGTTATCTAGTGTTGACAAAGTTTTGAAATATATTTTATCCAGATCCATCAGAAATTAACTTATCCAATACATTACTTTACTAGTTCTAGTATCTTGCATGACTCGTTCATAAGAATTCTTTAATTCTACCTCGTTCCCAATACGTCCTCAGACAGAAAATATTATAATCTTTAGATTTACAAAGTTGTATGATATTTGATAAATGCAAAAGTTGTTTTCTGGAGCATTCGGAGAGAATACGCTGGACGATAGAATATTAAAAACTATAAAAACATTCTTCATAGAATTAAGCAAATACCGTATTTGCCGTAATTGGTGCCCATGTTCCTATTAGCGCCCAACCAGACTCTTGGAGACCCGAGGGTGAGTCCCTGGGTGGAGAATCAACGATCATTAGCAGGCCTGTCAACTTGGGAACACCTAACATGAGTGACTTGGAAATGTTGAACACCTCCCCTCAAAATGTGGACACCTTGGTCCAATTCTGAACACCTTGATCCAAATTTTGAACACCTTGGTTTGAATTTTATTACATCTTGCCAAATTTTGCTTACTATGAAGTGACCCATAATCATTATATATTGGTTCATCAACTATTCATTTTTACTTGTCTGCACTCAAAAAGGTGACACGAAAGGGCTAAACGGCTTGCACCAAGGTGCAACCATCAAAAAGATGAGTTTGATGAAAAATTATTTTTTTCAAATAATAGAAATGGTTATACAATATAGGAGGCAAATTTGATATTGATAAGTATGATAGTCCATTTGCGTGTGGCCATTTTTATAAAAAACAAAATTTGTGAAGAATTATATATTTCTGACCTAAAAATACCATCTTAATTCAAAAGTCATGGTTGTTAATGGTAATATTCCTATTTCACCTATTCAATGTTTTCAAAATATTTTAATTACCATTATATTCATTTTTGGCAAAGTAAATAAATATAGGGCTCACACAAGGATCAACTTTATTTGCAATATTTTCATATTTAGTGATGTTTTGAAAAAATATAAGGTTAAACACAATTTTATTTGTTAAATGTTTAGCCCATGGTATAACAAAATAAACAGAGTGTGTTTATTTCATTGTTTTGACTGAAAATCACAATTCATTGCTCTTCCTCTTAGAACGGCAGGGGATATACAAGTACATAAACAGTCTTAAAAAACGTTGATCCTTGTGTAAGCCCTACACTTATTTACTTTACCAGAAACTGATATAATGGTTATTCGTCGGTATGAAAATCATTTCAAAGGTAAAATTGGAAGAATGTCATTGAACTTGGAATAAAAAGCATTATATGGTTAGAAATACCCAATTTTTACCATAATTGTTTTTAATAATATAACCATACCCTCATGGACTATCTCTACATTTCAATAACCAATGTGCATTATATTTTGCATGTTTTACTGCAATTATTTGTAAAAATATTTTTAAATCTTGCATTTTTGACTGGAAAGTGAAGAGACAATACTCAAATATACTCATATTATTGGTCACATTTGGTTATTTCACCCAAACAGATTCGGAATTTTTAGTCCAGGCATATGAAGAAACTAGTGTGAATTAAATGGTCATATTATACAATACAATACAATACAATACAATACTGATCCAATTCAGAATTACTAGAGAAAGTAACTCTCGTGGCTGTTGATCACTGATTGCAGACATAAAATGACCTCATATTTGGATGTCCTCTCTTCTGGTATGATTTTACAATTCACTTCAAATTGGCAAAGGACCAGGTATAGTATGGCAAGTGATATCCGATCATCATATATTTTACCATGACTACTTCTCAATGACATTTCTCAAAAACACAATATGTTATATTTCAAGAAAATTCAATTCTCAATGATTATAAAAATATCATTCAAACAATCTAAAAAACTATGAATGAGGAACCCATCTCAACATTTTTTTGAAATTATTTACTCAACAGAGGTTCTTCTTTTTTATTTGAAGTTCATGAAAATATTATTCAACAAGTGGTCTAAAACTTTTTCATTAGTAGAATTGTAATGAAAGTCTAGTTTTGGAGATATCAATTTTCAATGACCAAAATTATGTTGAAAACAATGGATAGTTTGAGTTTTTCCAATGGAAAATAACATGGAATTTGTGGTTTTTAACTTTATCGCATTTCAATACCCATCCCCCTTTCAGAATTTTTAATTCATTCGCGTAGAAGAACTTTTGATATATTCGAATTAAGAAAAAATACTTTAGAAAATAAGCCTAATATTTTTCAAAAAGTGACAAGGTGGGGATCTTATC